AAGTTCCAGACGAAGCATCTGGAGAGACACGCCCTTAGACAAACGTTCCTTCAAAACATAGCATCTGGAGAGCCACGTTCACAGGCAAAACGTTCCAAGCAAAGCATCTGGAGAGACACGCCCTCAGACAAAAGTTCCAAACATAGAATCTGGAGAGCCACATTCACAGACAAACGTTCCAAACGAAGCATCTGGAGAGACACGCCCTCAGACAAAAGTTCCAAACATAGCTTCTGGAGAGCCAACGTTCGCAGACAAACGTTCCAAGCAAAGCATCTGGAGAGACACGTTCACAGACAAACGTTCCAAGCAAAGCATCTGGAGAGACACGTTCACAGAAAAACGTTCCAGGCAAAGCATCTGGAAAGACACGCCCTCAGACAAAAGTTCCAAACATAGCATCTGGAGAGCAACGTTCGCAGACAAACGTTAACCAAGCAAACGACCCTGGAGAGACATGTTCACAGACAAACGTTCCAAGCATAGCATCTGGAGAGACACGCCCTCAGACAAAAGTTCCAAACATAGCATCTGGAGAGCCACATTCACAGGCAAAAGTTCCAAACATAGCATCTGGAAAGACACGCCCTCAGACAAAAGTTCCAAACATAGCTTCTGGAGAGCCACGTTCACAGACAAAAGTTCCAAACATAGCATCTGGAGAGCAACGTTCAAATACAAACGTTCCAAGCAAAGCATCTGGAGAGACACGTTCACAGAAAAACGTTCCAAGCAAAGCATCTGGAGAGACACGTTCACAGAAAAACGTTCCAGGCAAAGCATCTGGAAAGACACGCCCTCAGACAAAAGTTCCAAACATAGCATCTGGAGAGCAACGTTTGCAGACAAACGTTAACCAAGCAAACGACCCTGGAGAGACATGTTCACAGACAAACGTTCCAAGCAAAGCATCTGGAGAGACACGCCCTCAGACAAAAGTTCCAAACATAGCATCTGGAGAGACACGCTCACAGACAAAAGTTCCAAACATAGCATCTGGAGAGCCACGTTCACAGACAAAAGTTCCAAACATAGCATCTGGAGAGCAACGTTCAAATACAAACGTTCCAAGCAAAGCATCTGGAGAGACACGTTCACAGAAAAACGTTCCAAGCAAAGCATCTGGAGAGACACGCCCTCAGACAAAAGTTCCAAACATAGCATCTGGAGAGCCACGTTCACAGGCAAAACGTTCCAAGCAAAGCATCTGGAGAGACACGCCCTCAGACAAAAGTTCCAAACATAGCTTCTGGAGAGCAACGTTCACAGACAAACGTTCCAAGCAAAGCATCTGGAGAGACACGTTCACAGAAAAAACGTTCAAGGTAAAGCATCTGGAAAGACACGCCCTCAGACAAAAGTTCCAAACATAGCATCTGGAGAGCCACGTTCACAGACAAACGTTAACCAAGCAAACGACCCTGGAGAGACACGTTCACAGACAAACGTTCCAAGCAAAGCATCTGGAGAGACACGCCCTCAGACAAAAGTTCCAAACATAGCATCTGGAGAGCCACGTTTACACACAATCGTTCCAAGAAAGCATCTGGAGAGACGCGCCCTCAGACAAAAGTTCCAAACATAGCATCTGGAGAGACGCACCCTCAGACAAAAGTTCCAAACATAGCATCTAGGAGGTCACGTACAATCAGTGCACAGCCATTGCCGAAGAAAGACACGGATGCAACGCACGGACCTGGGGTATTCTCAGTGATCAAGACCATTGGTTCGAAAGTGTTTACTATGATGAACCCATTTGCTTCAAACGATGGTCAGCAAACATGGAAATGCTAAAATATAATTGACCTGATCACTCCTTTGAACATGATTTGTTTCAGCTTTATTGTGTTTAGATAAAGTTTGTAACTTTGGTCAAGTCAATTTTAAGTGTATGCTTTCCTTTGCCCGGTTGTTTGTACCATGCGCATGCATGGAGAATGGCTGGTCTCCATCACTAATTCCACCGGGCGTGGAAGGCAAAACTTTGTTTTTTGCAAATTATATGACAGATACATGTATATCTAATGACAGTGAGCATTTATTCTTTCTGACAAACTAGTGATATCCCAGTAAGCTGTACCACCGTTGAGGATGGTCGCCCAGCCATCATGGGAGTCTTTGCTGCATCGTTTTGATTTCCTGTTTTGACTCACAGCTAAAATTATACGGGTATACTCTACTGTACCTATCTGGAGTGAGTGATTACCATACTAACACGTTTTGCCACAAACATGTACCCTTCCACACTGTGTTAAATGGATGCTTGCGTATTTCAACTCAGACACTTTTTACTTAAATAAACGATTTATCGCCTGGAAGATTTGTTTAATTATCCTAAGATGTCCGTGTGTGTGTGTGTGTGTGTGTGTGTGTGTGCGCGCGCGTTTGCGTGCGTCCTGCGTGCAAGTGTGTGTGATTGTGTACCCTTAAGTTGATTGTTTGATGTTAAACGCAGCTATATCTCTGTAAATGATTGAGTATGAACCACACAATCCAGTGACTGACAATATGAGCATCGATCTAAGCAATTGTAATACAGTGACATGCATCAACCAAGTCAACGAACCTTACCACCTGAACCCGAAAGTCACGAGAACCATGAGTTACTGAAGACCAATTCCAACCTGCAACTTCACGGGTAGTATACCCTTATTGACAGGTACATTTATATATTTAAGACAGGTTTGCTAACAGATATCAGATATAAAATATAGTACACGTGTGTTTAGCAACTTAGCACAAGAAACACAGCCATTTTTTTCTGAACTGACGTATTTGAAACGGGTATCATTACTGTGTTTGGACCTTACATTTGTAGTGTTTTGGTGACACCTTATGTCCTTGCAGCGTTTTGATAATATTTCTAATATATGTTCAGATGCAGCTTCTGCCCTGCAGTTTCTAGTTATTCTAGGGACAGCCAAGGCTTAAAGGATACTACAGTACAGCTGACCAGCCAAGATTAGGGTATCCATATTTAGGCTGCTGTCAGTGATGGCATGGGGTGTCCTATTCTGGGACCCGTGAAGATCCGGGTTAGACCTGATCTTCAGCAACCCATGCTTAACGTAAGAGGTGACTAACTGGATCGGGTGGTCGGGCTCGCTGACTTGGTTGACACATGTCATCGTATCCCAATTGCGTAGATCGATGCTCATGCTGTTGATTTACAGACCGCCGCCAAATATCTGGAATATTGTTGAGTACGGCGTAAAACTAAACTCACTCACGCCTATCTGGTTCGCTATAACAGGTTCGTTATAACAATGCCAATGACGCATGTTTTCTTGATATGGATCTTCCGCAAGGTGTAACAAAACTGCCTCGACACCGGTGTTTTCGTTTCTGGTGTACCTGAGGCGTGTTGAACAGAACGAATACTCGCGAGTATTCGCGAATATCCGCTGCTGAACGAAAGCGAGGTCTCGTGTACCCGCTAATACACGCGTTACCACTTTAGAGCAGTCACGTCTAGAGATAATTCCAAGATGTTCACCATTATGCTGCTACCCAGCGGCCAGCGCCCACAGGAGATGCCTTAATTGTGAGGTCTTTGATTGTGAAAGGTTTACGTAATATTTGCCGTCCAGTACTGCTTATAGGATATATAGTATGACCAGAAATTATTGAGAATTGTAGGAACATGTTTAATTGGATTTCTAGTATAAACAACATTGACCAGCTATCAAGTGCTTGGTTTCATTCAAGAGAGACGATGATTTAGAGAAGAGGAAGTTGATTTTAGAGTGTTATAACCAGGACATCAGATCAGCTAAAGTGATTTCAAGTAGAACAGGCATCCCTTTGTCCACTGTTTATCGTGTTTTGAAATCTTTAACTTCTCAATAATTTCTGGTTGTACTGTATATTAGTCGGTGGACAGAAGTGTTGCTCGCAGAAGTGTTTTCCCATACACAAAAGTATTCGTGATTGGACGTATTGTCCGTAGACGTGCATGTCAATTTGGTGTTGGTGAAATAATTGTCATTTAGTTCATTTTTGCAGGATGAGTTTAAAATTGTACAGTTAATTAGAAAGTCATCTCACACGAACACAATTTTCACAAATTTTGTCCGTTCAACATTACCCACGTAGTAGCTCTATGTTCGCGCTAAAATGATTCCTCGCACTGGTACAAAATTTGACAAAGGTCCATCCTAAAGTAAATGTTATTAAATCATATTACCTTCACCAACTGAGCATGCAAGTCTATGAAAATTACGTCCAATCTCAATCACGAATACTTAATGTCCAGGGACTGTAGACAAGGAATGCTAATAGCAAACCGTTATGTCTCTGTCATAAGCTTTATAAACATGACTTGCCGCAGTTTTATTTCAAATTCAAATTCAATTGAAATTCACTGACCGGCGTAGGCCTAATTTAAGTAAACCTCCAGATTTTATAATGAATCGTAACAAATTGAATATTTCTGGTAGCGAAAAAGACTGTGTGCATTTCATCTTTCGACACGATCTTGGAAAATACTACCTAGCTACTTCCCCGTTCAGCAGTCGTTCGCGTGTACCTGCGTACTCGCTAAACGAGTATTCGCTCTGTTGAACACGCCTCTGATGGATATCACTTGCAGGAGACATATTACTTCATCGGCGGCAGGTAATATGACCCAATTTCTTATTGAATGTAAATTCAGGGGTGCACATCCCCCTTTTGTCCTGAAAGTTCACTAGAAGACACAATTATAATGGACAAATTCGTCCGTGTCCAATTTTCTGGGACATGGCTATACATTGAACTGTTTCACCTCCCTATCCTCTTCCCCTGCGGCAAGGGTGTTGACGACAGGCGACAACAGCGTATAGGATACATATACAATGTAATAGTGCAGCATGCCCTTCCTGTGTGGAACATAAGATACGTGCATGACTGTTGAGTCTGCTGCGCTAAGTGTCGAAACGTTGAGTAAGGTGTGGTCAGCAAGTCATGTACATTGAACACACCCCCCTACCTGCCTGCAACATGGAATAAACATGTCCTACCTGCGAAGGAGTCTACAGCAATCTGTACACTGCGTTAGTTGCTCCCGACTGTAAGACTGATGCTCTGACTTATATATAAGCGTCACTGTTTTCCGGAAATATGCTTTTACTTTCGTTTCATCTAATATTTCGATCGGGGGTGGGGGCTGGTGCGTTAAACGGACAGTTACAACCACCCTCTGAAACCAGGGTCGAGGTAACAACACCCGAACAGTCGGTCGTGCGAGTGGCAAAAATGAAAGATGCGGCTAGTGTATAGTGGATGGGCTTTAATGTCAGGTTTAAGATTAATCGTGTGTATTTGCGTTTGTGCGTGCGTCCTCGTGTATTCGTACGACCTATTGATGTATTATAGTTTTGGAAAAATTTATACTGTGCTGCATTTTAACATGGATAACCCACTGATATACAGCATGGTGGTTGCGAGCCGACCATTCCTTATTTTATACCCAGTTGCTGGGCGCCAGGCAGGGTAACAACAAGTACCATCTTTTGACGGCGTTCCGCATGACGGGCACGGTGGTCGAACCAATGACGGTCCCCACTCTCTGCAGACGCTTTATCCACTCGGAGGCTGTGGCAAGTAAACAAGGACAACGACGAATATCTCATATAATAGCGTTAACTATAACACTCACACATTTTGAATCCGTAATAAATGTGTATGAAATCCTCAAAACTGACACCCACCCACCCAAAATAACAAACAAACAAAACAAACAAAAATAGCCAAAAAAAACCAAAACAAACATACAAAAACAAAACACACAACAACAAAAAAAACCAAAAAACCCAACAAATGAAACCAACAAAAACCATCAAAAGAAAAACACACACTATAAAAAACACAAACAGAATAAGGTGATTTAAATATTTCATGTTTTGAATTGGTTGCGACTACAGCTTACTTTTCTCGCCGGCTATTTGCTAGAAATGAACACCTCTTCATACCTGTCACGTTCATAGCTGGCCTACATTGAAGAACGTTGAACTTTATGACCCAACACTGCCGCTGTTACAGGTGATTGGCTCCCTCCCCCTGCAAGCAGTCTGCGGTCTGCTGTTTATTTTGTTGACAGTTACATAGACAGATTCATTAATACAAATGCATAAAATCGGTGATTTACAATGTGATTAGGTTGTCTGACAAAACATCCACTTGCACAGATTGAGATCGATTGGGTCATTGGATGAAGAGATATTTACAAAAAAAAAACGGGTCCACATGCATTTCATGCCAAACTATAGAACTGAAACATTCTAGTTACATGACAGCATGTCAGCTTAAAATGTGAAGTAATGAAGGTCGTTTACCCCTGGGGCGAATCCCACGGACACAAGTGTGGAGCCGACAAACCAAGAAACAAAATCGTGGTAAACCGGAAATGAACCCACGATCATACGGTTTCCAGCGAGCCCAAGCAAGGGACGCAACGATGAATTGCAGCGACTACGGCGCAAATAAACCGTGCTCCCGATCCAAGTCGCCCTAAAACTATATCACCACGAGGGCACCATCACCGCCTAAGGCGACTGGGAGACTCGTATATATGGCATATACAGTTCACAGTTCATTTTTACAACAAAAAAAGTAATAAATAAAACAAAAACAAACAAAATATATACAAAGTAAAACAAGCATTGTCACTAAGGTGACATAATTCCCCGCCGCAAATTATCAAATAAAAAAGTAATGAAACTGAAGGTTGTAGTTTGAGATCAACAAAAGCATGACCAGTCAACCTGCACCTTCCCAAGATGATGCTTTGTGTCAAATATGAAGAAAATGTGTTAATGTGTCGCTGTGACCTTGAAGAGTACATGAACATAGCGTAATACTATATCCCCCGCTTCGCGCTAAACGCGGGCACACGTTTTCATGTCCCCGCGTTTAGCGCGAAGCGGGGATATAGTATTAGGCTATGTTCATGTATTCTGGAACAACTTATAATTTTAATTCATTCAGAATTCTTGTGGGGATACTGCACGTGCGTATTGAAAACAATATGTATAAGTTTCATCACATTTCTCGGCTTTGTATATATGGTGGTATTTCATTAATGACAGTAGTATGTTTTAATAGATCAAAGATGGGTTTTATTGCACAACACACAGATATATATTAACAGACACTTCGGAAAGAATTGTGTGTCCAGTTTTCAACTTTTTAGAAAATCAATATGCAGTTTTGTGGAATGTTGCAAGAGGTAATGGTTGTGACTACACTACAGGGTCATGCAGTAGGGATGATAGGAGATTGAGTGTTCCACCTTGACCAAATACCCAGAGTGTTCCACCTTGACCAAATACCCAGAGTGTTCCACCTTGACCAAATGCCCAGAGTGTTCCACCTTGACCAAATACCCAGAGTGTTCCACCTTGACCAAATACCCAGAGTGTTCCACCTTGACAAAATACCCAGAGTGTTCCACCTTGACCAAATACCCAGAGTGTTCCACCTTGACCAAATACCCAGAGTGTTCCACCTTGACCAAATACCCAGAGTGTTCCACCTTGACCAAATACCCAGAGTGTTCCACCTTGACCAAATACCCAGAGTGTTCCACCTTGACCAAATACCCAGTGTGTTCCACCTTGACCAAATACCCAGAGTGTTCCACCTTGACAACATGCCCAGAGTGTTCCACCTTGACCAAATACCCAGAGTGTTCCACCGTGACAACATGACCTTAGTGCGTTTCACATTGACAACATGACCTTAGTGCGTTTCACCTTGACACAGCCATAGACTGTTCCACCTTCACAACACAACAATAAAGTGTTTCATTTTGGACAACATGACGATACCCTGTTCCGCCTTGACAACATGGCCATAGACTGTTCCATCTTGACAACATGGCCATAGACTGTTCCATCTTGACAACATGGCCATTAACTGTCCCATCTTGACAACATGGCCATAGACTGTTCCATCTTGACAACATGGCCATATAATAGACTCTCCATCTTGACAAACACCCATAGACTGTTCCATTTTGACAAAAGACCCATAGACTGTTCGATCTAGACAACACATCCATCGAGTGTTCCATTTTGACAACATGGCCATAGACTGTTCCATCTTGACAACATGGCCATAGACTCTCCATCTTGACAAAACACCCATAGACTGTTCCATTTTGACAAAAGACCCATAGACTGTTCGATCTAGACAACACATCCATCGAGTGTTCCATTTTGACAACATGACCATCGAGTGTTCCATCTTGACAAAACTCCCATAGACAAAACACCCTAAGACTGTTCCATCTTCACAAAGCACCTTTAGAGTGGTCCTTTTTGATAACACACCCATATAGTGTTCCATTTTGACAACATGGCCATAGAGTGTTCCATCTTGACAACATGCCCTTAGAGTGTTCCATCTTGACAAAAGACCCATATAGTGTTCCATCTTGACAAAACACCCATATACTGTTCCATCTTGACAACACCACCATAGGGTGTTCCATCTTGACAAAATGCCCACAGTGTGTACCATCTTGACAACATAACCATAGAGTGTTCCATATTTGAAACATGACCGTATGGTGTTCTATAAAAGGATTTGAGTGAATTTCCATACCACTGCCACATCATGTACCAACATGACTGTCAACATGACTGTGTACTACCTTCACAATCTGCCCGTGGAGCATACAGTCTTCATGACATCACCATTTTCCCCACCTTGACAACACCATGCTCTGTTCACTTAAACAAGGCGCAAAGTCATCAAACATGGAATGAATCACTGCAGTAAATAAACATGGTACATTCAGACAACTTGACTCTGATAATATTAACAATCATAGAAAAATGTGTAACACATATTAATCGAGATATATATTAAAACGCAGATGATTTGATCAAATGAAAAATGCAAAAAATCCATTCTGCTTCACACATGACTACCCTTAGGCTGTCTGATTGCCAAAACATTCTACTGAATTCCTATGGAAGAAAGTCAGTGAGATGAGCGTCTACGGAAAAATCCATTGAAAACACTCAGGCGGACAGACAGAATACACACAAACAGTGAAATGTCATTGTAATAACAAATAAAAACAAACACTGCTGCTACTACAACCACAACTCTTGGGTGGGTGGCCTACTGGTTAAAGCTTTCGCTCGTCACGCCGGGTTCAACATGTGATATTGCTAAAAGTGGCGTAAAACTAAACTCACTCGCTCCTACTACACAGTATGTGTTTTTTTTCTAAACAATAATATAAAGTTAACATTACCTGAAAAACCTCTCTCCAATTCTAATTTTCTTCTTAGATGACTCAATGAAAAATTAACGTGAAATCAACGAATTTAAGACAGCATTCTGTGCCGTCCACTTCACGACATTCATGCTTATCGGGGGCACGTCAATACTTCTGTTCTTCTCCACATAATACGAGAGGCGTTATAAAGTAAACGCTCTTTACACTATGGTGGACGTTATGTAAATATATAGGATTCAACGTCATCTAACGTCATTGGGGTAGCCTAATGGTGAAGCGTTCGCTCGTCACGCCGAAGACCCAATTCATCACATGGGTACACTGTGTGGAACCCATTTCGTGTCCCCCGCCGTGATGTTGCTTGAATTTTGCTAAAAGTGGCGTAAAACTAAACTCACTGTCCTACATAATTGTTGACTTCATGTTTAATGACTGCCCAGGGGTAATCAGTCACCTACGACATTACCTACGACAGGCTGACACTGTTTCCAGGTAATGTTTAAGGGTGGACGGATGACAATCCCGTCAGGGCCTCAGTGAAAATCCAAAGAATTTGCATATTTTTTCTGATATTGCCGTTGTTTCACATAATTTCAAGTTACACCTTGTTACTTCACTTTTTACTGACGTATGCATGGAGCTACATTGAAATGCATGCTATGATCAAATTTTCAGTAATTTCAACAATGACGATACGAAAGTACATTAGTATATATCATATTTGAGTTTTTAATATATATGTTTTTTTATTGTCTTACAGTTTGATATATGCATATGCATAGTGTTAAATGTACTAGGGTTTCGAAAAGGTTTTCTTTTTATACAGGGGCGGTCGGGTAGCCTAGTGGTTAAAGCGTTCGCTCGTCATATCGAAGACCATATTCGATTCCCCACATGGGTAAGGTGTGAAAGCCATTTCTGGTGTCCACCGCTGTGATATTGCTGGAATATTGCAAAAGGTGGTGTAAACCTAAACTCACCCACTCACTGTACTGGTGGACAAACAACTAACTTGCAATGTCACCATCCTCCTTACATCATGTGGTCTGGGAAAGATGGCCACATGAAGCCATAATAATGTCATAAGTTAAATAAAATAACTATTATTTTTCAGAACTCGTTGATACCAAGACAACAGTTTCTAGATCAACCAAAACCTTTTAAGAATAGAGAGTGACAAATAGTTGGACTGATCATTTGACCCCCTAATTCTGAATATTATTTGTTGCGCCACAATGCTGCATTCTGCAATGCTTACATTTATGATTGCGACAGGTTTTACTCTTTTCCCCGTTACTGTTATTAATTATTGTATTAATTTTGTTCTACTCCTAAACATGGCAGTGTTCACGGACATCAACAGAGATAAGTACAGAGTTGTTCGGGGTAGTTGTAAGGACTGCCCCGAGGAGTGTCCACAGTGTTCCCAGCCTGTCCTCAGACACAACTGTACGTATTGCGGGTGTCCGGCAGGTGAACATGAGAGGGTGAAACCTCGACCGGAACTCATCATCAAGACAGAACCTGGGGAGGATGGGGCAGGATCTCCGGGACGGAGTGATGGCGGACCAACACCGGTCCCATCCAGAGGACCGGATGACTGGACCACGGTCCAAGCCGAACCTGGTCCCTCCAGGACGTTAGACGTTATTTGAGAACAATGGTGTTGAGTATTCTCAACTTGAAAGACACCTCAGCAGAACGGAACGTGGCGTGTTCACAATCCGGTGGAAGGGGAAAATATTTTATGTTGGAGAGCCAAAGAAGACGCCCATATTATCGAGCCTCCGAAGTATCTTTGTTGGTGGAAGCAATCAAGTCATCAGCGCATTTTTGAAAATATTAGGCAGCGATTTGAAACGTGCTCACGTCAGAATCGCCTGGCTGAAACACAAAGATGATGACCCGCACCTCAAGACGTGTAGAGAAGGCAATAAAGTGATGTCATATAGACACTATCTGACAAAACTGCAGGGGGCGAACCCAAGGGATGTGCTTAAAGTTTCAATGAGAGAGAATATAACTGTTTTAGCTGACACAAAAGTGTAAAAGAGTTACTAGTACATATGAACGATGTCTTGCAAAATTGGGATTAAACAAACCAACATCTCAGCTCATCTTGTTAACAGAACACTCACATTACTAAGATAACAAAATAAGAATTACTGTTTCTTTGATATATTTAAAATTATGTTGTTGTTTTTTATTTCCAATACCCAGTCCGTTAAATATCCATACACTTAAAATATTTGAAGAAATATGTATGATGTCAGATTAATATGAACTGTTTTTTACGCTTACTTATTTACTGTAAGTGTGGTTATGCATTTACCCAGGAATAGATGCTTGTAAGTTTAATTAGTAACTGTCTGCAATTCAAAACCCTGGTTGGCGTCCTTACCACTGAGAAACTGTGCAGATGCTTGGCTATATTCCACCCTTCAGTAACATGGGCCATCTTGAGACAAAACTATCAACATCTATTTTGGTTAGAAGCGACTTAATTCATATGTTCGTATTATATTCTGACAGTTGCTTACATCATAGAGCATTGGGTTATTTTGTCCAGATTTGTTTATCTTTTGGCCGGCGTCAACTGAACATTTATGATTTCTGTCCGGAATTTCCACCGGGGCTGTTTATAGGCTTTTCGTTTTGCATTTGTCTCATTGACTAACGCTATTAGGATGCAAAATACTTGCAGCAATATTTGTATGGCAAGGAAAAAAGGATAAGGTAAAGCGAGAAATCATGTCTCAAAACCCAAGAATGGAGGTATTAGTGTACCTAATATACAAAATACCATAAATGCACAAAACCTAATGTGGATCAAGAGGCTTATCACTGAAAATTTAAAATGTATTTCTATTGCCAATGTATGCATACCTGATGGGATTAAACTATGTTATGCTGATGCAGATTATGTACGCAACAATATCATGCCAAATGTTACAAATCCTCTTTGGAAAGATGTACTATTGGCATGGTCCTATTACCTTAAGAATTGCTATTCAGAGGTGAATACATTTTGTTAAAGATATCTTTGACCATAATGGGAATTTTCTACAAAAAGCTGACATAGAAAAAAAAATGAATACCCAAGGTAAACTTTCTGCATATAGAAGTTATAAAATGTGCTGTGTTGGCTTATTGCAGATCTAAACATATAACTATTATAGGAAAAACCGGTTCAGAATTTCAAAACCCAATATTACCGTTTAATATAGCTTGTATATGTACAAAAAAACAAAGGAGCAAAACATTCTATAATACTCTCTTGCCACAAAGTCACGTCATTCCCAGTGGCCAAAATAAATGGGAGGATACTCTGAAACAACATTACAACAAAGAAGATTGGACTAATATTTATTTAATGGCAAACAGATGCACACAGAGCGTACAGTTAAAATGGTTTCACTTTAAGATTACTCATAATATTTTAATGACAAAGTACAGATTACATTTAATGACATATACTGATTCTCCCGTGTGCTCTTTCTGTGAATCTACTCCTGAAACAATAATACATCTATCATGTGAATGTCCATATACTGTGAAAATATGGAGGGAACTGTCCAGTTGGCTTGATATA